AAAATAAAAAAGAAAAAAAATATGAAGACAAAATTTAATATTGTTTTCATGTGAATGTTTATAGTTTATTGTTCATCAAACTAACAAGTAGCAATGATTCAACTGTTATCAATTCCTGAAAGGCCAAAAATATAAAGTACATGTGGAAAAGCATGTTAGTCAATTATCAAAAGAAATGGTATTATAATTCATTGAAAAATCTTGGAAATATGCTTAAAAGACAGGATCAGAGGCAAGGGTTGAATTATTCACCTCACATGAAATGGTAAAAATAGAAAAATGTATAGTGAATAGTTTCTATAGTGATAAACAGTTTACTACAGCTATATGAAACTTCAGGAAAGTGAACCACTGATTGAAGAAAATAGTTCTTTTAGAAGTGAATGCAAGCGTTCTAAATTGAGTGCAGGTATTTTATGTATGTTTTAATAAGTAAATAAGTAAACAGCAAGGTCTGGTTAATCATACCTACTAAAGTGGGCTGGAAGACAATACCTAACTGTTCGAAGAACTCAGATAGCCATTACCAGCACAGCCAGCTCCAATGAGCCAAGGAATAAAAGCAGGAGAGATGGTGAGTTTGAGAACAGAAGGTGAAGAACAGATCCATAATTGCAACTGGAAATAATAATGTAGTGTTTTGCAACACAATTTATAAACTAGTAATTCTTACAGACATAGTATTCAGACACTTAGAATGCTTTTATAACAGAATAAATGCTTATTTCTACATAGTTGGCTTTTACAAAATAAACTACTATAACAAGAGATCTTTCTTCAATTTTTAAGTATAAATATTATATATGTTTTAATTGAGAAAATCTGGAAATTTTTAAGACGAGACTACAATAAATCTAGTATTTTTTATTGTTGTTGTAAATGCATGAGATGGATAAAAGGAATTCATTCCTATGAAACATGCTCTCCACCAGTGAAGAACATTCCCTGACCTCTTCCATGTGTGTACCTGCAAAATATATTAGTAAAGTATGTGTATTACAATCACATCATTAAGCAAGGGCAAAAATGTATATAGATATCTCTTTTTTTTTTTTCCCAGTACCGGGAATTGAACTCGTAACCTTGGGCTTGCCAGGCAGGCGCTGTTCCACTTAGTTAAATCTCCAGCCCAAAAAACTGTATATAATTAGATGATAATGTAAGTATTGAGTGTGAAATTTTTAATAAAAAATACTGAGTTCAATATTCAATTTTAAGTAAATCCATTTAGGACAACTCTTCATTAAGGAAAAAAAATCATTAATGTAACAAGAATCACAGACTTGGAAAAGATGAACAAATAGGGACCAACAAGTAGAAAGTGAATATAGTAAAACACAAAGTGAAAACTATGCAATAATGCTAAAGATCATGACTATTTTTGGATGGAAGGTCTATTTTGCCTGAGCTGGTCATGAACTAAGAATCCACTGGAACCGCCTCCTGGCTGAGGGAATGTCTGATGCAGACCACTGCACTAGGCCAATTAAGAATAATTTAGGAGGAAAAAGTCCAAAATGTACTATTGAATATGTAAATTTTAAATTGTTTCCAAAAAAGGGGACTCTTAGAGGCACAAATAAGTTGTCCATTAAGCAAATAATATGACATTTATAAAAGTGCCTTATTACATTCATTCCCATGATGTGTACAAGTGGCCCATGAATTTTTAAGAAACATTCATCTGGGCTCAGCTTCACATGTCTGTAATCCAAGCCACTAAGGAGGTTCACAAAGATCATGAGCTAGAATGCAGCCTGGGAAGATTAAAGAGATCCTATTGAACAATACTGAAAAATAAAAATACAATGTACAGGTTACATAGCAAAGTGGTACAATTTAATGGCATTCACAAAGCCATGTTTTTAACTTAATATCTAGAATATATTCTTCAAAAACTGAAAGGGAAGTAAAAAAAAAAAAAAACTGTTCTGCACATTTGCTAAGGTTAATACAACTTTCATTTAAAATCACATAAAGTGTTTCCAAGATAAGCTATTTGAAGGCTTACTACACATTTGCCAACACATTTTAAAATCCAGGGGGAAAAAGCCTTGTGAAAGACAAAGGTGTATCAGACAACAGTTTTGCACCTGAGCATTTTGTTATGTGGTAAAAAGATTCCCTACACTGTGGCAGGCTCAAAGTTCAACCTACAGTACCAAAAACAATTATATCATAAATGTGTGATATTGGTATATTTTATCCAAGATAAAAAGTGATCAACATCAGGAAGTTATCAGAACACAACTGAAAAATTAACAATGGAAAGATTCATCTGAATATTTAAATCTTAGCATCAATACATTTTGTGCAAACATGATACCATGATAAAGTACATGTATCATACAACAAACATATGGAGCTGTATGAAGAATTTGTGCCAATAATTTTTACTATCGAGACTAAAAAAAGGAGGCCAGGGATATAGCCCAATAGCAAGTATGAGGTTCTGAGTTCAAGTCACTGAAAGAAGGAAAAAAACTAAAAATAAAAAACAAAATCTCTACTGTCCTTTACATGGAACCAAAATACATGTGTGGTGTTATAAGAAAGATGAAAGAAAGACCCACTGTTGTGAGGGCAGAAATTTGAAGGAGGCATTTGGCTTCCTGGCACAGAACTGCCCACATTCTACCTCTCAATCTAGACATTTTCAGCAAGAAAAAAAAAAACACACCACAGAGAACATAATTCTTTAATAAATGAAACTATATGTAGGGGTGGTCTAAATTAATAAAATTTACTATCTTCTCCTAAGCTCTTGGCTACTGTTGATTCACTTTTTCTGCAACACACTGACTAACAGCATTGAGTCCAAGAGAGAATGTAATGAGGCTGGTGTTATGCTCATCACCACATCAATAAAAATTGAACTGGTTATAGATGTTCCTTAAGGCATTAAGTGAAAATATTGGAGCAAATAACTTGAAATAAAATATACTGAATATGCATTTAATATACCAAAATCTAATGAATATACTAGTGATGGCCTTGTTAAATTAACATGATTATCATGCTTATATTGACCTGTAATCAGGAAGCATAATCTAACATACAGCCCAATTCATAATAAAATAAAAAATATCACACATAATTTATTAAATGGAGTACACTGAGGGGTACTTCTTGTTTATCCTTGGTATCTGGTGGCTAACAGAACACGGTTCACAGCTAATGCCCAACAGAAAAAGAATTTCTGCTGTAAAGAGGAATATGCATGGGTCACTGAAATATGATGGCTTTAACTCTTTGGGAAAGATACCCACAAAAGAAAGTACTCCACTGAGTGGAATTACTACTTTCAGATTTTTGAGTATTTTGTACACTGACTTTGATAGTGGTTGAACTACTTACACTCCCACCAATGACACGGAATGGTTACTTTTAGCTGCAGACTCAGGAACCTTTTTTTTTAAATTCTTGGTGATGTGTTTTTTTCTGGAATGCGACAATGTTCCAATTTGCATTTGTCTATTGGGCAAAAATGCTTAACAGTTTTTCAGGTATTTATTGGAAATTTGTACTTACTCTGAGGAGTGTGTATTCATTTCACTTACCTGTTCTTTTCAGATGTTAGATCTCTGAGGGGTATCAGGCAAAATTTTTCCATTCTGTAGGTTATTTATTCATGCTTCTTTTTCTTTGCTTTCATTACAGAATTTTTTTTTTTTTTTTTTTTTTTTTGGTCTTTTTGAAACAGGGTCTCGCTATGCAGTTCAGGCTGGCCTTGAGCTCATTTTGCACCCCAGGCTGGCCTCAAACTCGCAGTGATCCTCCTGCCTCAGCCTCCCAAGTGTTGGGATTACAGGTGTACGCCACCACACCCGGCCATTACAGAAATTTTAAAATTTTATATAATCCTTTTCGTTGGTTGTGTCATCCTAACTTATGCAATGCCATTAAGAAAACAAAGTTTTTAAGTCTCTACATTGAGAACATGAGATGCCTGGCTCATCCATGTTTCATTGTTTGTGTTTTACTCTGTCACAGATGTATATACGATTGCTGCACAAATATTACCATGAAAAATATATTTATTGAGCAACAAAATCCAATTTTTACCCTATCCCAGTTTTATGTTCTTGACCTCAACTTGTTTCTTTCCTTAAAATGCAAAGGCAGGTACAAAGACAACTGCCTCACAGTTTACTGAAGTATCTAGCTAAGTTGGCCCTCACGGTCAGCTTCAAAGCCATAATCATCCTGCCTCCACCTCTCCTGCTGCTGGGACCAGAAGAATCACATCTTAGATCTTTATACATTAACCACTTACCAACCAAATATTTATATACAAGATGACCAAAAATTGCATATTTTTCATTAATTACAATAACTGGAAATTTCAAATTGAAAATTTTATCAAATTTAGTCAATATAAGAATCAACGGGTAAAAATGACACCTGCCACAATAACACTCAGTACCTAAACAAAACGCGCTCTCCAAGTGATGCTCAGGGTAAAATGTTCAGTGGTCAAATGAAAGGACAAATAGTCATGTGTAACTGTTAGTATTAAAATAGTTTTGGCCAGGCGTAGAGGCGCACACCTATAATCCCAGCACTCAGGAGGCTGAGGCAGGAGGATGTTGTGAGTTTGAGACCAGCCTGGGCTACAAAGTGAGTTCAGGCAAATTCAAGCCTGAACTGCATAGAGAGACCTTGTCTCAAAAAGATAAATAAATAAATAAAAATAATTTTGAGGCTGGGGTTACTCCCTAGGAGTACTAAAGCAATGGGCTACATCTGCATATTACACAACTGTATATATCTCTAAGCTTAACTAAGGCTAGGGCAAGCTATACTCACTGCATTATGGGTATTTAATACAGTGTTCACCTATGTTTTCATGATACCATAGGTTTATAGCAACATAACCCCATCAGAAATGGAATAGCTTTTGTATTTGAGAACACTGTATTAAACACTTGACAAATTACATCAATGTTAAAATGACAGTAAAAAAATATAGGTCAAAGGAGACCAACTGGGGACTCATGCACACACGATGGCTCAGTGGATGTCTTTAAAGGCAATAGGCACATACCCCAAACATCAGGCATTGGTCCTTATGAATAATGATGAATGACACTGTATAATTTTACATAAAAAACTAGTAGAACATAATCTGAATTATAACTTAGTAAATTCCCTTTTTAACAAACTGATTAATACCTCACATGAGTTAGGTTTTCCTTCATGACATTAGTCTAGTGTATTAGGTAAAAATAATAATGATTACCAAAGACAGAATGGCATCACAGCATCAGGGACTAGAATAAAGGCATTTGCACTGTACATTCAGTAGCAACCATTCTCCCCAAAACAACTCCACAGCTAACAAAAATTCCTTTTGAAGTGTTGTTACTGATAAATCATACCATTATTTATACTTTCTGGAGATATTACTGTAACTCATGATATGCTTCTGGAGACAAGTTATGGTTCTGCTGGTATGGGCAATCAGAATTCACAGCAGTATGGTTTACTTATGGTATATGTTGTGGAAAAATTAACACTAAATTAAAAGCCCTTGCAATATAAACATAAAAAGCGAAATTCTGATAATAAGAAAACATAAAAATTTATGTAAATAATACTGGCTCTAGTGAGAAAGAAAAATATGCAATATTATGTATATGATATAATATACTGTGATGTTAGGATATAAGCAGGTATCTTATCACAACAGGAAAAACACAAATTTGATAACCTACAAATTGCGTAAAAACAACCCAACTTTGTCAAAAACGTATGCTTACAACCCTCTGAGCATATGAAATATAGCATCAAATTCAGAAACATTCATTTGTTACACAGAAGATGGAGTATATGCACCAAAAACTTATATGTAGTAGTAAAACCCCAACAATTAACAAAAAACAATATAAAAATTAAGATTTTAGTGGCCTATATCTCTTAATTTTAAAGTCAAACATTAACTACATAGACATTAACCATACCTGAAAGTAAAGAATACATTTCTCATTTACCATGTGTAATTGCAGAAATACTCAAAAATACAAAAATTGTGTCAGCTCTATTTTTTATATTAAGCCCTACAGATACATAATCTAGATATGTATAAGTGATTTACTAAAACCACACAATGTATGTGCTTAAGGATAGCTCCACCTGGGATTTGTATTTTTTGGAAAATTTGTGAAGAAACATTGACATCAAACTTTTTATATGAAATATTTCTTTAGGTTTCTACTACATGAGAAATTATCACTGGATTTTGAAAATACACTTACATGGATAAAGATTTTCCCTAGTGAGACTTCTTTCCTATATTTAACAATGTGTGTGAACTATCTTTTCCACATTACTTATATACATAAGGTTTTGCCTAGTAAGTTCTTTCACGTATGTGACAATCCTCATGTGCGCTGAAAGTATTTCCACATTGCTTACACACACAGAATTGATACACCGTGTGAATCTTTTCATGTATTTTATATTCACCATGCCTGCTAAAAGCTTTCCCACATTGCTTACACACAGTGTTTCTCTCCAGTGTGAGTTCTTTCATGTTTTCGCCAATGACTGTTTGTGCTAAAAGCTTTCCCACACTGCTTACATACATAGGGCTTCTCCCCAGTGTGAATTCTCTTGTGTATTTGACAATACCCACGTGTGCGGAAAGCTTTCCCACACTGCTCACATACATAGGGTTTTCTTCCATTGTGGTTTCTTTCATGTCTTTGACAGTCATCACGTGTGATGAAAGCTTTCCCACATTGTTTACATACATAGGGTTTCTCCCCAGTGTGAATTCTTTCATGTCTTTGACAGTTGCTATAATGTGTAAATGCTTTCCCACATTGCTTACATACATAGGGTCTCTCACCAGTGTGAGCCCTTTCATGCATTTGACAATATCTATGCGTACTGAAAGCTTTCCCACATTGCCTACATATGTACTGTTTCTCTTCAGTGTGAGTACTTTTATGGATTTTATATTCACTGTGACTGAAGAAAACCTTTCCACAGTGCTTACATATGTAGGGTTTCTCCCGTGTGAGTTCTTTCATGTATTTTGCATTCACTGTGCCCACTGACAGCGTTCCCACACTGCTTACATACATAGGGTTTCTCCCCAGTGTGAAGTCTTTCATGTATTTGACAAGATCTGTTTGTGCTAAAAGCTTTCCCACATTGTTTACATACATAGGGTTTCTCCCCACTGTGAGTTCTTTCATGTCTTTGACAATGAGTTTTTCTGCGGAAAGCTTTCCCGCACTGCTTACAGAGATAGGGTTTCTCCCCCAGGTGAACTTTTTCATGTGTTCAACAATGACGGTTTGTGCTGAAAGCTTTCCCACATTGCTTACATACATAGGGTTTCTCTCCAGTGTGAAGTCTTTCATGTATTTGACAATATTCTTGCGTGCTGAAAGCTTTTCCGCATTGTTTACATATATAGGGTTTCTCCCCAGTGTGAGTTTGTTGATGTCTTTGACAATGACTGCTTGTCCTGAACACTTTCCCACACTGCTTACATACATACCGTTTTTCCCTACTGTGAGCTCTTTCATGCATTTGACAATATCTATGTTTGCTGAATGCTTTCCCACATTGCTTACATACATAGGGTTTTTTGCCAGTATGATTTCTTTCATGTATCTGTATTTCACTGTGTGTGCTGGATGCTTTCAAATTTTTCTTACATACAAAGCTCTTCTCTCTACGGTGAGTTTTTTCACTAAGATCAGAGTAGGATTTCCCATATTGATCATAATCATAGGGATTCTCCCCAGACATTGTCCTTGAATGCTTGTGAAAGGACTGGAAATCACTGCACTTTTTTGCATTTTGACTACTTTTATATAGGTTCTCTTCAGATCCCAAATAATGACATGGCTTCAGCGCAGTGTGAGCTATGATGGGCACATTTAGTGACAAATGCCTAATCAGAGGCTTTTTACAAGCAAGGCTTTCAGCTTGTGTTAAATGAGCTGGTTTCATGTCCACTTCAGCATCTGGAAACCAAAGGAATATTTCTTCATTCTGATTCAAAACTTTATGTTCATAGCATTTCTCTATCACTTCATTTCTGTAAAGAAGAAAAAGTCACAATAAATGGGTCTCCATATGAATGATTTACCAGAATAAGTTCTGTTTTCTTGCCTGCTAAGCAATTTTGACAATGAATTAACTCAATGCTTTGCAGGATACTTTCAAAATAACAATTCCCAAAATGAGTGGTATTCATTTAGTAATTTTAACGTTAGTATATTTTGTGATACAGAACACTTAGCTTCACTTTAGTACATATGCGTATCACATACTTATTTTGATACCTTTACCCAAAGCATTCTCCCTTCTCGCCTTACCCTATTTATTTTTCCCATCTCTGAAAAGTCAGTCTCCCTCATCTATGTTACTATTTAATTCATATTTTTTTGGTTTCTCATGTAAGAGAAACCATGTGACATTTCATGTTTTCAGTCTAATTTATTTCACCTAACATTATTGGAGGAAGACCCATCTATTACTTTTGGCAAATGACATGATAACAGTCATCTTTTTGGTTCACTTTATATCACATTTTCTTTTTCCTCTCAGTGCTGAGAATGAAACAAAGGTCCTAGCACAAAATCTCTAGCATTTTTATTTCTTATTTTGAGAGATTCTCATTGATGATTAAGTTGCTCAGGCTGAGCTTTGCCTTGCCATTCTGAAGAATCTGCTTCCCAGAGTGCTGGGTTTACAAGAATGCACAATCACAGTGAGCATATCAACAATTTTCTTTATCTGTGTACCAGTGATGAACATCGAAGCTGATTCCATGGCTTAGCTCTTAAAAACTGACCTGTTTTGAATACAGGTATGCATGTCTCTGAATACTATGATAACTTTGACTCTTTTCAGAAAATATCCTGGCTGAAATGGAACTTCAATTTTGACTTTTTGAGACATCTATGTACTGATTATCATAGCAGTTGCTCTTCACATTCTACCAGGAATGTTGGAGGGGCCTTCCAAGAACATTAAATCATGAATGGACTCACTGCTGTGGAGAGTGGCTGTAAGGACCTATTACTACATGAGCATTTCCTTTGTACTTTGAATATTGCTTCAAGGTTAGCAATTTGTAGGCAGGGAATATCCTATACTGCCATGTATATATAAATATTCTGAAAATGGGTTCCTGTCAAAACAGAAAGTTTATTCTTTTTGTATATACTGATATATAATACCTAAATGCAATTTCATACATTTTCATGATTCAATTGTCAAATTCTACATACTCAAACTGTATACATCTTTGGGAATATTTGTGACATTAAATTGAACTTTGTTTCATTTCCTTGGTTGTCATGTTTCTGCTCACACACTAACTCTTGAGAAACATTCTTTTTCCTTGTGAACACAAATTACCTTAAAGATCTCCAGTAATTTTTGTATTCTTCTTCAACTTTCTGGTTATCCCAAGCTTTTCCTGCATTGTAGACATAAAATATAAGGACTCATTATATTATTACATAAAAAATAATAACTTCCAATAAGATTCACATTAAAATGTAACCAGATGGGACATATTCCTTTAAATGTTTTCACTTCCTTTTTAATGAAACAGCACTGATGAGCAACAAACAATATTCTCTGAGTGTATAAATGAGAACGAGCTGTCATCCTTACCTATGGTAGTCATATTCCTAAATATTTCCCCCATCACATCTCTGTAGAGCTTCTTTTGGGATAGATTCAGCAAAGTCCACTCCTCCATGGTGAAGTTCACAGCCACATCCTCAAAGGTTTCTGCCTCCTAAATGATCATATACACAATTCTCAAATGACACTCACAGCCTGGGACATCTCAACTATTCTCATGGAAAAGTTGAATTCAGTGCCTGATGTGGTGCTGCATATCTCCACTCCTACTCAATACAGTTCTGGAAACATTAGCCAAAGCAATTAGACAAGGGAAACAAATAAAATCAATAAAGATAGGAAAGGAGGAAATTAAATTATCATTACTTGCAGATGACATGATACTCTACATAAAAGATCCCCATATTTCCACCAAAAGACTTCCAGATTTAACAACCAGATTCAGTCACACAGCTGGGTAAAATGTCAACTCAAAAATTAATATACTCCTGTACACAAATAACAAACTCATTGACAGAAAAATAGGGAAAACACAACCTTCATAATAACATCCCCCAAAAAAGGAAGTACTTAGGAATCAATCTAATAAAGGACATAAAAGAGCTATACGTTAAAAACTACAGTACTCTGAACAAGGGGAGTGAAGAGGATATCAGAAAATGAAAAGATATCCCTTGCTCTTGGGTAGGAAGAACCAACATAGTCAAAATGGCCATACTCCCAAAATTGTTATATAGATTTAATGCAGTCTCAATCAAAATACCATTAGCATACCTCACAGAAATAGAGCAAACATTCCTAAAATTCATTTGGAATCAGAAGAGACCTAGAATAACAAAAACAATTCTGGGCAACAAAGGAAAAGCAATGGGCATCACAATCTCTGACTGGAAATGATACTACAGAGCTACATACCATGCAGAGTATGGTACTGGCAAAAAACAGACCTGCAGATCTATGGAATAGATTAGAAGAGGCAGAAACAACTTCAAATACACTAAGCCATCTTATCTTTGACAAAGGGGCTAAATATATTTATTGCAAGAAAGACTCTAATAAAACGGTGCTGGAAAAACTGGATTTCCACATGCCAAAGACTAAAACTAGACCCATATCTACGGCATGCACTAAACTGAAATAAAAATGGATCAAAGATCTAAATATTAAAACACTCAATCTGCTGGACAAGAGAATAGGTAGAACTCTTGAAGACACAGGTATAGGTAAAGACTTCATGAACAAAACATTTATTGCATGGGAAATACTACAAAGAATTAACCACTGGGATCTCATCTTATTAAACAGCTTTTGCGCAGCAAAAGAAATCACCAACAGAGGGACTGGGGGTTTAGCTCAGTGGCACAGTGCCTGCCTGGCAAGTGCAAGGTCGTGAGTTCGATTCCCAGTACTGGAAAAAAACCAAAAGAAAAAAAAAAAAGAAGAAAGAAAGCAAAAAAAAAAAAAGAAATCAACAGAGTGAAAATTTGGCCCACAGAGTGGGAAAAATCTTATCCAGTTGTTCTTCAAACAAAGGACTACTAATATCTAGAATATATGTAAAGAATTTTTAAAAATTAGACTACCCAAATTTAAAGACCCAAACCAAAAACGAGCACTTGAAACGAATAGACAATTCTCAGAAGTACAAATGGCAAATAAATACATGAAAAATGTTTAACATCACGGATCATTCAACAGGTGCAAATTTAAAACAATTCTGAGATTCCATCTAACTCCAGACAGAATGGTTATTATCAAGAAATCAACCAATAACAAATGCTGGTGGGGCTGTGAGGAAAAAGAAACCCTTTTCCACTGTTGGTGGGAGTGTAGACTGCTGCATCCACTGCAAAATCAGTGTGCAAATTCCTGAAAAAACAAGGACTAGTGGTTCCATTTGACCTATCTATATCCCTTCTTGGTATCTTCCCCAAAGAATCATACCACAGCAATATATGTGCACCCATGCTTACAGCAGTACAGTGTGTAACAGGTAGATCTTGGAAGCAACCCAAATGCCCATCAACCAATGAACTGATAAAAAAAATGTGGGTTTTTTATGCAATGGAGCATGACTCGGCCATAAAAAATGATAAACTTGAGACATTTCTAGGTAAATGGATGGGCCTTGAGACTATACTCTTAATCAAAATAAATCAGACACATGTAAATATCACACTGTCTCTCTGATGTGAGAAGCTGAAAGTGTAAATAAGAATTGAAATGTACAATAGATATTGCAAAAGAGGAAGTAACTGTTTAAAAGGAAAGGGAAATTGAGGTGGGGGTGGAAGGGAAAAGAAATAAGAAAAAAGTATAAAATGGAAACAAAGCTTTGTAAATAAGGAGGGGAAGAAGAGTTGAAGAGAGGATATGGGAATGGGAAAAAAGAAACTAAGGTAAGTCATGTACAGGTACAAAATTCCTACAGGAAATGTGATCATCATGCATACCTAAACTGTACCAATAAAATTAATCATTAAAAAAAGACCAGTGTGGGCTCCACAGTGAGTTCGAAGCCAGCCTGAACTACCTAGTAGAAGCTTGTCTCAATAAAACAAAACAAAAAAACACAGCTGAATTGAGGCTCAGTCCTTCAAATCTTTTTTCTGTATAGGGTATCAAACTTAGGGCCTCGAGCTTGCCAGGCAGGCACTGTGCTGCTGGGCTACATCTCCGGCCCTCCTTCAGATCTCAATTCCATGTCTTGATCATTAACTCATGTGCACATACATTTTTTTCAGACCACAGTTCTGATGCTAGATTGCCACTCAATGCTAATGCAACAGCAGAACATGAACACGTTCTTTTGCTGAGTCACTGCAAGGGTATCTGTGCACTCTCTAAAGCAGAGCTCACAGCACGAACCTACCAAATCACCATCCACAAAATACTAGAGTGCATGAATGTCTAATTTATGGCTTTGATATGTGATAATACCTCTTCTTGAATCTTATTATTGATGGCATTGAATCCTTTCTTTGATTGTACGGCATTTTGAAACTTGAATCTGGTTTCACAGAAAAAAAACAATAGAATATAAAAATAGTATATGCATAATAATTAAAATGTGAATGGCAAGACAGTTTTATTGGAACAAGTCTATGAACAATGAAAACAGGGAAAAGCTGGCAAATTATTTTATAGCTCAGAGTCACCAAGTAGTCACCTTGTACTCAGATATAAGAAATTCTAGGGTGGTATGAGGGCAAGAAGATGAATAAAATGTATTATATACATTGAAAGCCAATATTTCACAAAGTGATTAGGACAAAAGGAAAATTTCAGCCAGGTGTAGTGATCATACCTGTGACCACAGCACTTGAAGGCTGATGCAGGACTGATGAGCTTGAGGCCAGCCTCAGCTACACAGTAAATTCAAGACCAGTCTGAAATACAAAGTGAGACCCTGACTCAAACTCCCTACAAAACTGTAACTTTGATTTGTTAAAAAAAATACAGCTGTACAATATAATAAAATTATAGCAACATCCAATACCTTCTAAGCAAGACAGTCGACAGTTTCCCTAAGATACATGAAAGACATTCAAATTCCACCTTTAATAGACAGTGCCATTCATTATAGGAGAAAATACCAAGTAGATTTCAGGAATGGAACGTAGACTTCAGTGGGTCCATATGTACGTAGAATATTGATTGTTGAGCAGCTGGTGACACACATCTTTAGAAGAAATGACAAAAAAGTATTTCCTCAGAAGAAAATCAGGTAACCATCAGAATCAGAAGGATAAATTGAAATAAACAAAAACCAAGAGATATAAATGAGAAAATATTTGTGGTGTCCACAGTATAAAGATTTTGTACAGGGAGTAAAGATCAATGAACACAAATCTAAAATAAAATAACTACAATTTATCTAACTCAAGAGAAAACACTGAATAATGAACAAGAACCAAACTTTTTTGAGAAAAGCACGAAAGAAAATGGAAGCAAGGAAGAAAACAATGAGGATGTAGACTTATGCAAGAATGGAGAACCAACTGATGCACTCTACACTCGCTGCCTTTACTTTAGAGTTCACCAAAACATACAGACCGGTAACTTACTTCCAATGAGTACAGAATACACAATGCTACTATTCCTGGAGAGACATGTGATTCTTTTCAATTGAGCTTTAAAAATCTTCAATCACATTTATCAGTGGAATGGATGAGAAAGCACTTGGCTCTTGATTCACCTAGCAACACTTGTGAACCATAGAGAAAGAAAACCTCTGAAAATAGTTTTCTTTGCAATTTCTATAATAATCACATACTGAAAATTCCACGGGAACAAATCAAAAGAACATGTTTCATAGAAGAGCACACATGGTAAACTTAGGAAAAGTCTCCAAAATGGGACAGTGGTCATCTATGGGGCAAGCTTGAATCTGGTGGGGTATCAGTCACCTGAATGCTCTCAAACACTGCCCAAGGCCCAGTGAAAAACTTTCTGAATATTCCCAGGTTACTTACATTATTAGTGTTAAGTCTCACCATCAATTTTGAAAATAAAAATTATTGCAAAATATTTAAGGACTAAATCATCATTAAGGAAGTACACCTTAATTTATATCTGTCTGTGTTCATATTTTAAAAGATGAGACAACATTCACACACTGAGCAGCAATAACCAAAGCACCAGTTGCAAACAAAAGACCCACAGACACCCAGCAAGCAGCAGTCGAACTCTATATTGCCCATCAGGAAGACAGGTTAGACTGTCAGAGAAAGAGAGCACAGACACCAGAACTGATTGATGTCTGCACATATGGGTTATGGTCCCAATGCTGTGCCCACCCGGACAGGAGTCATTATTATGTTGACACTGATGAGGGAAGATTACATAGAAACCTATGCAAAAAGACACACGGTCTATCATTGATTCACCAAAATCTGCAATAGCTATACTAATTTGACATTATTCAATTTGTATCTCAAAGTAAATAGTGATTACAGTGATCAGATAATATAGAAGGCAGTCCTCTAAAAATAACAGCCCTTGATACACATTCTACTTAACAGAGTATTAAATTACATGAGGCAAAACATGAATACCACTGATTCACAACTCTGTCTAAAGATGTCAAAACAACCCCATCAATAGTTGATAGTTGAAGAAGGAAGAAAATCTACAATGGAACAGTTAAAATTA